TCACCCCGTCATGTGCGGAAGTGGAGGAAGAAGGATGGCTGCTTCTGCTCGCCGCATTTATCGGCTGCTTTGTTGACAACAGGGAGGGAAGGGAGGAGGATTCATTGGGAGCATGCGGCGCGGTGGGAGGTGACACGGAGCCATCGGGCGACATGACGGGGACGGCCGGACGATATGTTCTCGACGGGGTGCGTCGGGCGTTGCGATATTTGGTGCATGACAGCGACGCACTGAGGGCAAAGAGGGAACTGGAGCACGTTGTGGACGCTGTGAGTGAGGGGTTTTGGCGGCAACTGCGCTCTACAAGGCGCCCCTGCCGCCGCGGTGATGATGCGAAGAACGATTTGGGCGGTGACGATACGACGAGGGACGAAGAGAAGATGTTGCAGCTGCTTTACAGACTGGCAGGCGTCCTTCCTCACAGCACCACGACGTTGAATGTCGTGTTGCCAGCCGAATTGCTGTACGTGGTTTATTACTTGGCCTACACGCAGTGTGGTCCGCAAGCATGGCAGGTAGAGACGACAGATAGCCGATGGGTCCAGCTTTTTTTTGGTCCTTCGCTTTGTGCCTGTTCGACCATGATGAAAAGCAGCATGACGAACGATTTTGCTGCTTCAACAGCATTATTTTCCCTACACGCTCATGGAATGGAACCCGGAGGGCGAATGCCACAAGAGGAGAACATGCGCCTCCACATGACGCGTTTTTTCTCCCGCTGCACGGCTCATGGATACACCAAAAATGTTCAGTTATTTGTGGATGCATACCACGCATGGCTTATGCGAGATTATCACGGCGTGTTGGAGCACACGGAAAAACTCTTTCAACTATTACCATTTGGGGAAGAGAACCAATCCCGCCTCTTGTGGGTTATGCTTCAATCTTCACATTTCATATATGTATTTTCGTCTATCGCGATAACAAACACATCACACCCTGCGGCTAGAGAAGAGCTGAAGGGAAGGCTTCAACGTGTGAGAGTTGAAAGCAATAGTGATAGTTATGAGCGTTATGTGAGCTCTGTATGGGGGGAATGTACGTCCTTGCATACATGTCCGTCTTTGCTTTGCGCCGCTTACAATCTGGTTTATTGTGAGATTTCGCATAGCGGGGGAAATCACCACGGCGAGGAGGAGGGCGACGGTTGCCTTCATGACGAACAGCAGCCACAGCCATCGACTTCATTGGTGTGCTGGCAGGAAATGTTTTTGCTCACGCTACGGGTGTGGCTGCGGGCGAAGCGACTTACCGAGGAGGGCTGTATGACCGAATCGAGAGATCTTCTTCTTCACACATTGGAACGACTTTACAGCCACAGCTGCCGCACCAGAAATAACAACAGTCGTAGCGTCATCACCGTTTTCTCACCTCCACTCACTGCGGGAGCGAATGCCATAGACCCTGGTGGTGCTGCCAGTGGTGGCGGTGGCACTGATGCCACTAAAGAAGATGCTTCCATCTCTGCAGGTAAGGGTGAAACACACGTCGTGATTCTTTTAATGTCTTCGATGTGGCTCCGGAATCTGTTGCTGGTAAATTGCGCGGCTCTTTCCGACACGCGTACTCCACTGCACTTTATGGATCATCTCAGGCAACCGCTTACTGCTGCTGAGCTGTTGTACCTTGCGGCGTGCCCAACAATTGCTGCAGGTGGTGTGCATTCCCCCATCTTTGCTTTATTTCCAATTGATGGGGCGGGGGAAATGAAGCCGGCGACCGGCGTGAATGAATCACTGGAACGTATGCCGCTTCCTGTGCGGGTACCATTGCTGTCCCATCGTCTCTGGAAGCTGCGACAGCAACTGCTTCAGGAATTGCCACGATCTCCTGATGAAAATTGCGAGTGTGAAGATCATCGTGTTTCACTGCAGAGGGAGATGATACATCTCTGCGAGTCCCTTGCGATGAGCGCGCGAGGGTTGTTTGGTTCTTTGGACTTGAGTTTCACGGACTGTGCCCCACACCGTATTGTGTTTGATGCCATCATGATGGCCTGTGATGTGCAGGAGGATATTCTACGCAGCGCCGCGTTATCGTTGGCAAATGCCTCTACGTTCTCTCCCCCAACTTCACCGTGTAGCAGCAGCAGTGGCAGTGGCAGTGATAAAGAGCGCACCGGAGGAATAATGAGTGAGACATCAAACATTGTCGATAGGGAGACGAATACAGATACCATGCTGACGTCGTACATTATGTGCACATCAGCAGGCGACTCGCCCTCATTCATCTCTAGTGTAACACGCGTTCATGACAAAAGCAGGAGCAGCATAGACGACAACAACGAAAATAATAATATTAATGATGATAATGGTGATGATGACAGTGATAGCTGGATAATGAAAAATCGCGCGGCGTTGTTGATTTCACCATCGGAATTAAGTCAAGCATCTTCTTTTGTCGCATGTACTGCGGTAGCGGCGCAGGAATTGTACTGGTTTTCCTACAGAAAATCACACGAGTGGATGGAAATCCTTCAGCATTTTTTCCCGCAATTGCCCCTTGTGGTGCAGGTATGCCAACTGCGTGTCGCTGCTGCAGCCTTCGACAGGGGGATCGCACGTCTTGCTCGAAATTTGCTCGCAGCATTTCATGAAAACGCCTTGGTTGCCTCACACGTCGCATTGGCACTGTTTGCAAGCCTTCATGTGGTGCCGGCAGAGCGGTGTATTCATGAGGCTCTTCAGAAGCATCCTCACTCGGCGGAGATGCGTCGCCTTTACCGCGTAATATGCGGTCACAATAATATTTCAAGGCAGGAACTGCAGGGAAATGGAGATGAGCAAGAAGCGAAAGGATGGGTGAGAAAACATTTGATCAGGCCCGATTTTACTCACCGTTATCGCGGCGTGCTTCCAGTGAAATATGTTGCCTGCGAGCAGCGCGGATACAAGGCCGTTTATGTGCCACTTGTAATGTCTCTTGTTTGCATTGGTGTTCTTGTATTGTGCTTTGTGCTGCACCTGAGGGATGTTGACCTCACCACTGAAAGGACCATCCTTAAGGATGACGCTGTTTTCCGCTGGTCTTTCGCATTGCCCTCCGCTTTTTTAACGTATTTGGGATTTGGAGTTCTTCTATACGGTTTTGCGGCTGCGGCCTTGGTCCCATTTCTTACATCGCGTCGTGTGGGTTCCAACAATCGGGTTCAGCACGTCGCAATGTTTCTTCACGCTCTTATGGAGTGGAATTGTTTGGAACATGATACTCCGAATCAACTTGTTTTTTGCTTGCGCGGACTGCCATTAGTGAACCTGTTGACCGGCGTTCAACTCGTCGTGAGCAATGCACTTTGGCTTAAAACACATACAGGGAAGCCGTGCATTTCAAACGAAGCCAGAATTATTCCCGATGAATGCAATCGCGTGTTTACTGGATGGGGAGCGGTGCAGCTACTTGTTATCGTCGTTCTTCTGGCGATTGCCGTGCTTTTTTATGGACGTGCATGGCGGGTGTTACGTTACCGGGATGTTTTGGTGGGACCCCCTGCAACATTCATCACAATTTTTTTTATTGACGTTGCTGCATTACTAGTTTTTTTCCCAGTTATATTCCTCTGTTGTGTACTGTTGGAGCCGCTTTTGTTTTTTATTACTGTCGTCTTCAGCGTCGCATTCGGATCGCCATTACTGACGGAGCATCTTCCAACTGTTCCAACAGACATGGTTCTGGCCTCAACTGTTTTACCCCGCATCCCCACTGCCACCACCAGGGCCGTGGGGCGCTGGGGCGGACTTACGGCGCTATTTTTGGAGCAGGTGACCTTGCAGATACGTGAGCGGCTCCGTGCAAGTATGCCACCGCTTCACTGGTTCCCTTCTCGACACCAAGACTGTTCAATTCTCTGCTTTCACGAGGTGTTGCAGCCGCTGAGCAACGACGGCAAGGATGCCTCAAACTCAACCGGGGGGTTTATTTTACAATTTCTGAGGTTGGCTGCATCCCGTGGTATTGCAGTATGTGCTTTCCTGCAGGACATCATAAATTGGCGCATCCATCGCATTCCTCAAGATAGTGAGGCGGCGGTACAGTTGGCGCTTTTGCGTGAGAGTTTTACTGCGGTGGTCGTTCCTGCACCAGCCAACGTAACCTCCACATTGAACGATTTGTGGGGTGTCAACACAAAAGTTGAACTCGATACATGTGCGACCCGCTTCGCTACACCACCCCGGTGGAAAGTGTCATCCACAACCCCGTATGGCTAATTATTTGATGGGACCCTGTATGAATCCCCCCCCCCCATTGTCGTTTTTCTTTCTTTCTTTTTTCTGGTTTACTATGTGCTATTGATATCTTTTTTTTTCTAGGAGCTTGTGAAAAGAATGATCACGGGAGAGCTGGCTAACTTAATTAATGTATGTATATATCCTGATAAATGAATGCATTCTTTATGATACTTTCTACCGTATGAATCTTTTGGGAAGAACGCGACTTTGTAGGGGCGGGAACCGATAGAGGCCGGATAATATTTTAATTTTATTTTGCCATCCCACCCACCCCCTTGATTCCCACCACGCGGCGGGGTCTTGTGGTTGGAGGACCCCAAAGTCTGCCACTTCGTAAGTAATAATATTTCAAATCCTAACTGAGGACAAAGGACCATGCTGGTGGTCCACAGAATTCTATATATTGAATGAGAATAAAACATTGAAGCAATTAACTAAAGAACCTTTTTTCCTAACTTGTTTGGTTTCCATAGATAATTTCAGGATCCGGCCAGCTGCCCGGAAGATTATTCTTGTTTGTTTCTTTTTATTTATGCGTGTGTGTGTGTGTGGCTTGTATCTGGGGTGTATTTACTCGTAATTTTTTGCCTGTTGAGAAAATATCCCTGTTTTCATGATGGCGGCGCCGTTGCATGGTGGGAGGAATTGTCAAGATGAGGGGCGCAGTCGCCTTCCGTTGACTGCTTTTGTTGATTTTTTATTCTCTCTTGCTTTTCAATTTCCCTGAAGTCTTATATTATACGCTTCCACATCCGTATTATTAAAGAAGTGCCGATGCCATTGGACGTCGTGTGGACGCGCCTCCTTGCACGTGGAGCTTTTTTTCTTTTCCTTACGCTGCTTCTTGCTACTTCCGGGGGCGCCGCGCACTCGTTGGCGGTTTACCCCATTGTGGAGGATCCCCTGGTGAATTACTCTGTAGTGGCATCTCAGCGATGTGAGGATGCGGGCATGCGTCTCGCTGCCCCTGATAGCCTCGAAAAGGCGAAGCATATGGAGAGTTTGCTGTCACGATGTTCTTCCTCAACGGGCTCAGTTCTTTTTGGTGCGCAGGTTGTTGAGTGTGATGCAACTATTTCACTTTTTTTATTCAAAGACGTTTTTTCTGAGCCCAGTTCTCCCGTTGCCGGGGATGCCGAGCTGTGCGATTCTTTAGCGGGCGCAGCTGGCCGCAAAAATGTCCCCGGTATGTTTGGCGGGACCTTGGGGTTGCCGTTTTACCACGTTGACTTTAAGGATTGTAAACACCCAAACTGCATCCGACCAGTGCTGCTAGATTACGATCCAGCACAGCGTTACGGATTTGAGAAACCACAGAGTAATGAAATGAACTTACTGGTGTGGAAGCTGAAAAAAACTGAGGATGGCAAGACTCTCTTCTCTTGGGAGGGAGTGTGCAGCAAAGGCACCGCGGGATGCCCATTTAAAGGGGTACAAAAGCCCTTCATACCTAATCAGGTTATTTGTGAGTCCGATGGCCCTATGACGGACCTTGCTGCCATTTGCTTTGAAAGTTATGTAGATACCACGGAAGCGAAAAAACCTGTTGACGGCAATTTGTGGATAATCGTTGCGGCAGTGGGATCTGGTGTGCTGATTTTAGCATTGTTGGTAATAATTTTCTCCACTAATTCATGGAGGCAGCGGCGTGATATGAAACGCCGAGAAGAATCGGAGGACATTTCGGCTCCATACAAATCGAAACGTGAAAATGGCAGCTCATTGAAGTTACAGCACCAAGGAAGCCTTGCCGGAGAGGGCATGCAACGCCAGGGAAGCTTTGCTGGAGGGGAAATGCCGCGCCAAGGAAGCTTTGCTGGAGGGGGAATGCCGCGCCAAGGAAGCTTTGCTGGAGGGGGAATGCAGCGCCAAGGAAGCTTTGCTGGAGGGGGAATGCCGCGCCAAGGAAGCTTTGCTGGAGGGGGAATGCAGCGCCAAGGAAGCTTTGCTGGAGGGGGAATGCAGCGCCAAGGAAGCTTTGCTGGAGGGGAAATGCCGCGCCAAGGAAGCTTTGCTGGAGGGGGAATGCAGCGCCAAGGAAGCTTTGCTGGAGGGGGAATGCCGCGTCCGGGGGGTTTTCCTGGAGGGGGAATGCAACACTCGAAAAGCTTTTCTGGAGTTGGAATGCCGCGTCCGGGAGGTTTTCCTGTAGTGGGAATGCCGCGTCCGGGAGGTTTTCCTGTAGTGGGAATGCCGCGTCCGGGAGGCTTTGCTGGAGGGGGAATGCCGCGCCAAGGAAGCTTTGCTGGAGGGGGGATTTCGCGCCAAGGAAGCTTTGCTGGAGGGGGAATGCCGCGCCAAGGAAGCTTTGCTGGAGGGGGGATTTCGCGCCAAGGAAGCTTTGCTGGAGGGGGAATGCCGCGTCCGGGAGGTTTTCCTGGAGGGGGAATGCAGCACCAAGGAAGCCTTGCCGGAGGGGGAATGCAGCACCAAGGAAGCCTTGCCGGAGGGGGAATGCAGCGCCAAGGAAGCCTTGCCGGAGGGGGAATGCAGCACCAAGGAAGCCTTGCCGGAGGGGGGCTTTCGCGCCAAGGAAGCTTTTCGGATGCAGAAGAAATACGTGGAGAAACTAAGGATGATGTAAAATTAAAGCGCCGGGTCAGTTTCACTGGCACCTATGTGCTTTTGTAGGGGCTGCCCTTTCAAAGGGTAACAACGTTGGCTGCTGGGTTCGCGGACCGCGTAGTTTTTGTTTTGGCGGTTTCTTTATTAGGTGAAGAGGAGGGGAAATGAAAAGCTATTGAATATTTTGAGAGTTGGTTTGGTCTTGACACCAGAAAGCAGCGAGGAGGATAATTAAACCCTTTGTTCCGCAGGAAAGTTTAGTGAGGGCAATCTTTTTTTTTTTTTTTTTTTTTTTGTGCTTATGTTTATTTATGTGCCCTTTTTTTCCACACAATGTGATTGTAGTAATGTGTATAGTTTACGCCGGTACGCGCTGTTTATAAGGGAGAATCGCCCCTTGTGTTAAGGAGACCGTTTCTTTGTGGTGCATCGCTGCCGTGTAGGGTTGCTTTCGAGCTCTTAGCCCTTTTATTTATTTTATTTTATTCTGAGCAATGTTTATTTTTGGTTCCTTTCTGTAGGCTTTAAGTGCAGGGAGTATATATTGAGGTAAAATGGCCAAATTGTTTTGTGGATTGTACTAGTACCCAATGTAGTAGTAATCTGGCGATATATATATATATATATATACCGATAGATGCGTGGGTCAAATATTTTTTTTTTGTTTGTTTTGTTTTTTTTTGGATGATGTGTCAAAACTTTATTAGCAATCATTATTTTTTATTAGTATTATTTATTTGTTTATTTGTTTATTATTAGTTTTGTCAGTGGTTTTATTATTATTATTATTATTTTTTTTTCGATATATTTGTATATATTTTTTTGCTGTGGGACAGAAATGAATTTTACCCTCTATTTTTTTACTTTTCTGTTTATCTGCGCATATGTATGATTTATTCAAATTTTTTTTTTTTTTTTTTTTTTGTCGATGCGTGAGTACGCGTGTGTTTTTGAACTGGCTTTCCTTGTTGTTGTTTGGCGGCTCTTTTGCCTCCGGTTACGTGCCGCGTGGCTCCTGAGGCGTCTTATTATTGACTTTCTGCATCTATCTTGCCTTGCTGCATCTTTAGGTGATTTGATCCGCACTCACCGTGGGACGTCCCACTCTGCCGTGACGCCGACTACTTTGTGGTTGGCTGAACAACGAGAGAGGAGGGAGGGGCGTACGTGCGTGTGGTGATGATGGAGAGTCCGCTCTCTAGAGGGGGATATGTGTCGCCAAACCGCGTTGGCACCGGCTGCAATTCATCTCTAGCGCCTGGGGGGCGCTCGGTATCGCCTGGAACAAACTCGTTGACGTTGCCCGCGGTGAATCAGAAGGTCGCGGTGGAGGGGTGGTGCCGTGGGGGACGGCTACGCCACCACAAGGTAAATCCAAGTTTATTTCAGGAGGGCGAAACGTCACTGCTTTTTGTCGATGACGGCAAAGGTGGGAAGAGGGAATCTGTCACGAGACCTCTGGAAGAACCACTAGTAGACGCGAAGTGGCAATGTGGCATGAAAAATCCGGTGGAACGTAAGAAGAGGGAGTCGACTACGAGTTGTAGGGGCATGCTTGCGTTGGGGAACAACGGTGGACTATCACGACAGCAGTTGCTAACGTTGACGGAAGCGTCAAAGGGAGGCACCACCGTCCCCTTGACGGACTCTTCTTCTCAGTGCACAGAGACGTCTCGAGACGGTGGGCAGCAGCGAACTCGGCGCGTGGCAAAGAACGGCTTGGAGTATGACCCGAAGACGTACGGTGAACTGCTCCCGGCCACGCTGAGGATGCATAAAGCGGGCTGTATGCAAGCCGGGATTGTGTCTAGTGCAGTGGTGAACGAATTGCTTGCGGAACGTGATGCTCAGCAGGCTAATCGTGGGGCTTTAGCAATGAATGGGGAGGGGTTTTACACAGTTTCTTTGCAGGAACTGCAGGGGTTTCTTGGGGAGATGAATCAGTTTCAGGAGCGTGGAAAGCACATGCGGCGTCGATGGAGACGCCATCTGCTGTGTGTGGAGGCGCCAAGCAGTGCGGCTATCCGAGTGGTGAACGAGGATGATGACACAAGCTCCGAGAGCATGCAGGAGCCTGACAGTGATGATAAATTGAAACTGACTTTGTCAAAGCGACAGCAGCAGACGAGTGAGGCCACCAGGGCCGCTATTTCTACCTGGCGGGAGGAGATCAACGCTCTCCAACTTCGCGGAGGCAACCCTCGGGGCGCAGTACTGCTGCGGAATGAAATTAGAAAAAGCCAGCGTGCCGTGGAGAAGGCTTCTCAGGGTGTCACCCTTTCAAAAATTCTCATGATTCAGAATGAAACAAATGTGAAAACGCCAAAGGAAGAGGAGCAGCGAGAGCCATTGAGGGGTCAAAGTTGTTTGTCCGCAGAGGAAATATCATGGCGGACGGAAAATAACATGTCGCAGCGCACTGTTTCCCCCACGTCCCCTGGTCTTGGTGCCGCTGGTGTTGTGGAGCGCACAAATGACGGTGGCAGCTATCACGGTGATAAAAGGAAAGGTAGCGACAGCGATGCCGTTCATCGCCGCCTTGACACTCAACTTGTTAGTCTGCTAAATCGTGGTAAAGGCACAACGGTGTATGGACTTGACATTACTCGCAGAAATAGAAGTTGCGGGGCGCAACAACACGTTCCGCCTGCAAATTCGCTACCTTCATTACAACCGGCGTCGGGAAAGAGTTCTCCCATGGATTTTTCCGTGACCTGGACAGGTGACGCAAAAAAAAATCCGGAGCTGAAGGGGCGTCACAGTCATTACAGCATACAACGACCATCGAGACCCCTTCCTGTTGAGTACGGGGTAGGAGAACAGTCTAGCCTTAGGCTCAAGGCCCTAATTACACAGTGGCGTCTAGAGGATTGCCAAATGGAGGTAAGGAATCAGGAAGACATTAGACGCACACGTGAGCTCCTGCAAGAGCTAATACCGAAACGAGCGGCGTTGCTTGATGAGTCGCTCAAGTGCTCCCGTGAGAACGCCAGAGTTATTCTCCAGAAACACCGTCAACATATTTTCAAAAGGGTTGCAGAGAAGGACTCCGAGGAGCGAAAGCAGGCCTGTTTTGGATACGTAGACCTATTAGAAGAAAACTATAGTGGTGTGGTCGCCGAAGGATCCTTGGCTGCCATTCGAAAAGCGTTGCAGAAGACACGTGATCTCATTAAAGTCTCACCCACGCGCTGTAACGCGCGTAGCTTTCAAAGTATTCTGAAAGAGAACTTTTTAATTGCTCACCTCGTTGAGGTGCCAGTACGCGAACTCCTTTGGCGGCTTGCGGAATTGTTTGGTATGACAAGGTCACAGTACAAGTCTGCCATGTCCAATGCTTACCAATTGCTCAATACCCCGCGAGACTACCAGGCTCGCTTTCGCGAGATTGAACGCACAATTGTGTGCATTTCAACGCCGGCGGAACGGCGGATTCGTCTCACACTTCACCGCTGCCGCTTCTTTCTAGCAAACAACACCGTCGGCACATCGCATGTTGTTTCTGCGATAGGGGGTGAAAGGAGCAGGGAATTGTCCGAGATTTATGTGCAAATAAAAGGTGAGAATCAAGTTTTTATTTCTACAGCTGTGCGGGCGCGCATCAGCAACGATGATGATACTTTCAGCTGGGATGTCTCCCAAAGAGACGGCAAGTACCCTTCGCTTTGCGGTGCGAATTTCATGGACCAGGCGTTTCGTTTTAATTTTGGCGAGAACGCGGAGTTGGTGGTGGCGCTCCTGCACAACGGGCTGGTGATCGCGAGTGGCAAATTTTGCTTGTCGGACTGCACATTCAACCCGCGTGGTATTGCGCTGCTGTGGCTTCGTCTGTCCGGCGAGGGGGGAGCGGAGGCGGAGATCAAACTTACACTTGCAATGTTGGCTGAGAAGAATCAACAGAAGAAGACACTACGGAATTAACGTTCCACGTTTTTCGTTTCTTTTGCTGTTGTTGTTGTTGTTGGCTCTCCTGACGAGGGGAATCAAAAATACATTTATATGTATATATCACGAGACTAGGAAAATAAAAACAAAAAACAAAATCAAACGGCAAAGGGAAGTCACCCACAACTCCGGCATATTCTCAATAGGACGGGGGCAACACGAAACGCAAAAAAAAGGAAGAAAAAAAAAGTGTGGGCATGTTTATATCTTCTTATGGGGGGGGGGGGGGTGATGCATAGCACTCTTCATGGCGTTGTAATTTTGGCATTTTGTAGGATTTTTGTTTTTATTTTTTACTTCTTTTTTTTTTTTTCCGGTGTCTGATCTCTCTCTCTATGTGTGTGTGTGTGTGTGTTTTCCCCCGTTGTGGCTGAACTACCCAAAATTACTCATAACTTCCTTTTTTTTTTTTAATGTTTGCTTATTAATTTCTCTCTTCTTGCACTTTTGTTTTTTCCGGCCCTTAGCTGCGCCATCCGGGGTTTGCGTTGGGGACTGGTGCTCTTCTCGCTCACTCTCCATGTAATATTTGCGGTCTGTTGGGGCGTTATTCACAGTTTTTTTTTCTTTTTTGTGTGTGGGCATTCTGGCGTCCGCTCACGCCGGATGGCCCTCAGCCGGTGTGGATCGTGTGACGGTTGGGGGCAACGCCATTCTCGCTACGGAATTTGAATGGCCATGGGCGAGGAAAAACGCGTGGTCGTTGCATAGGGAGGGGGAAGCCGTGCAACGCGCGTGGCCACACCTGCAGGCAGGGGTTAATTTCCGCTGGGGCGGGTGGCAGCAACAAACCCGTTCTTGACGTCACTTGAGTCGCGGAGCATTTGAATTTAGGGACGTGTGACCGTTTTAGGCGCATTTTGGGCCTGTTGGAATGATTTCTAAGCCCCACCGTGCATGTGGAGTCGTGATCGGTCCGCTGGCCTTCAAGGGCGTTAGAGACGCTTTTGCCCTCGAAATTACAAGTTTGATGAATTGACACGATCTGTGTTTGTGTTTTTTTTTTGTTTTGATTGGCTGTGAGATTTTGGTGGATCGCTTTTGTTTGGGCTTTTCTTATGCGTTGCGGATTGTCCCCTCCCCCGGCAGGGAGAGAACAACTCATCTTTTCTTTCTTTTCTTTTTATCTGCTCTGCGTGCGGTGGCGGAGACTGTGGAACTGGTGAGGGAGGCTGAACGCTAAAAGAAATTAGAAGTAATTTAATTGAGGAAGAAAAGCAAAGGGACAAAATCCCACAGGAGGAGTCATTGCGTGTGTGTGTGTGTGTTGCTGCTGCTGCTGCGTGAATGAGGGGAGGGAGGAGGACGGCTGCTATCGCGGCCTCCACGTTTTTTTTGGCACCGCGGCGGCGTCGGTTTCCGCAATTGACGACATTGGTGCAGCAGCCGCGGTACTGCAGCAGCGAGTCTTCTGCAAAGAAGATTTTCCATTATCGACCGCATCAACTTAGCGGCCAAAGCGAAAGAAATGTTGAATTGAATCTCGGTGCCTCCACGAAAAAGTTGTCCTCGGTGCACATAACCCTGGATTCACTCGCACCGCCGTCCACACTGACAGCGGATACCGCGGTGGAGTACCTGGCAGCCCTGCGTGGCCTGCATCGATCTCTGGGAATTATGGCGTCGGCATCACGCGTCCGTTGGCAGGCACGGGAGTTTCTGATTCGTGGTATGCCAAAACCAAATGACAATGAAACGCAGGCATTGTGGACGATGACAGAAGAACTTGCGTGTGCCATCACGGTGTCCTGTGCACATTTTGAAATCTCCATATTGGAGTGTCCATATGGAAACGAAAGTGTGGAATTTCTGCAACATCTTTGGCAGGAGCGGCAGTCATCGTCATCACCATTGTCTTCAATATGCAGTTGTGAAGAGGCTGTGCTGCTTGGGCGGCTCACCATGGCGGTGCTGGATCTTCTTGTCAACCGTGTTCTTTATCTAGATGCGGATGGCTATGAACTGTTGTCGCAGCTGCTGTGCAGGACGCTCTTGCCTGCCGTGATGTGTGTGCTTCAGGATGACGTCCTCTTTACGCCACCTAAAGGGGAGGAGGGTGAAGATAAGGATTTAACGAACACACAGGCTGCAGCTCTCACTGTACTGCTCTCTTCCTTAACAAAGGCAGCTGTGGCACAGTGGGCTCGACGCAGCAGTGACTCGGAGGATGGGGAGAATGTTGCTCTCTTTGGCACACCGACTTCACTGCCGCCTTCTGTGGAGAGTGGTGTACGAATTCCGCGTGCAATCAAGGTGCCGATTGTGCCATTATCTCTGGCAAAATTGGCGCGAATAGTACAACACTACGCAACTGGTCTTACGCCATTGCGAGTGAGGGAGACGGCGTTACCGCTTCTTCGCTTCTTCACACTTACCCAATGTGTCCCACTTTTTGTTGAACCGCATGATGAGTGTGGCCCTCATGGGACTGGTGAAGGCAGCAGTGGAGGCTGTGAGCAGGGAACAAACATGGCATCGCTGGTGGCATCCGTTACAAGAGTCTTACAGGCATCAATGGATAACCGCACTTTTTTTGTGTCGCATCAAGTGTCGAACATCACATCGACATACGCTCGCATCCTTTCGTTTTCTCCCATACAGTCAAAAAAGGAAGTGGGAAATGATGGGCACGCGGTTGTTGCCTCCACGTCCTGGTGCCTGTTTGAGATTCTCATGATGGGGTTAAAGAGTAACATCCTCTATCATGTGGAGCCCCTTTCGCCCACTGTCGTGATGCCGCAATTGTGCGAATGTGTGACGGCGTTTTCAAAAAAATATCTTTTTTCTGATCTGGCTGCCTTGCTGAACGCCCTTGCGAAGATATTTCACGTCTTGTGCGAGCAGCACAATAATCTTTGGATTCAGCAACAGCAGCAGCAACTACAACAAAAACAAGACCAACCGGTTAAGGTGAACGGTACACGCTCGCGCTTCGAACGACGCCGAACGACTGCTTCCGTCGTAAGAAGCAGTATGCTTCCAAAGGATGAAGGAGGACAGTCGTCATTGACATCACCAGCTTTACCGTTGACGGGTGTATTTTTTGTTAGCAATGACGACATTTCTGAAATTGAGGGTGAGCTGGAGGTGCTCTTAGATGCATGTGTGGCTGTCATGGAGAGACACATGCTATCCTTCTGGAATACTCGTCAGGCGCTTGTGCCAAGGTCGGGTATCCATTCCTCTACATCGGGCGCGAGCGCCAGCGACAAAAGTCTTAAGGTTTTGAAGGAGGAGAGAGGAATTGCGTTTTCAGGAGTCGGCGTATCACTCGCGAAGGCACTTGGCGGAAGGAGCCGTCGGCTGAAGAAATCGGTTTCCAGCAGAGAACTCGTCATGATCGCGGAGGGTGTCCATGCCCTGAGCTGGCGGCCGTTTGTGGCCTTCCAGGAGCGTTTGTTGGCTTTGCTTTCATCCAGCGTGGGGCAGAGTGAGACGACGCCCTCACAGTACGCATGCCTTGTTCGGTTTGTACTCCGTGCACCCCCCGTGCTTCCTTCTGTCATCTTCCACTCCGTGGGTGATCGACTGAAGCGTGTGATTCATGCAGAGGCTGTTACGACGGCAGTCTCAAAACGGAACGGCAATGAAGGTGGGAAGGAAGAGAGCACCAACATGGCTTCATCGGCAGAAGAAGTTCCCGCTCTGGTAATTGCTGCGGCTCATGCTAGATCGCTGCAAGACACTCCACTCTCTCTGTATGACGCATGCGCTGTTGTTTTTGCTTTTGCGCAAAAGATGAAAAAATCTGCTCTCCCGTTGCTTCATGATTTTTTTGTGCGCACTGGCAAGCGGGTTTTTTCTGACTGCGAGACATCTCCGGAGCCCTGCCAGGATGCTGCCACTTGTGCAGCTTTGATGATGTTTGTGGCCAGCGCTACGTGGGTGCTTTGCCAATCGGCGCCCATTTTACCGGGGGATCATGGGCTTACGTTTATTGCGGCATCTCGTGACTATGCGGCCGAAATTTTGGCTGCCAGTACTCCAGAAGAAAAGCTCAACGCAGCTAAGTCTTTCTTCTCTCTTAGTGATTTGGCGTACGCGTGCATGATGTTGGAGCCATCATGCGATTCACAGGGCAGCGCCCAGTTGACACAGGTTCGCTGTTTTCTGCAGGAGACCTACAAGGCGCATACCTCCCAGTGTGATAGCATGGAGGTCACGCAGTTTATTACGGATTATCTTGCAATCCCTCCATTGGACATTTCGTATGGCGATGCCGTGAAGATGAAGCAGAAGGAGGAGGAGAATGAGAAGAAGAGCAAAGAGTTCTTACAGCTATCGCCGTGGATGATTTCTTCCCTGCGGCTACGGGACCGGCTTGAAGGTAACACGAGACTTTCCACTGTCATGTTTTTTCCACTTCTTGGGGGCGGGAGGGACGACATTTCGCGGGTGTTGAACGTCACACGGATGTACTGCCGTACCTTCGCCACACTTGTCACGACGCTGCGACTGCTGGCTGCTGCGGATGTCGAGTTGCTCAAGGATGACGCCGTCCTCGAAGTTGTGTTTCGCAAGGTCTCACAGTTGACGCGTCGAACGGCACGTCCACTGGATTTGTTTCAATTTTTTGAACTGTATGGGGATTACCCACAGATGGCTTCAGCGTGCCTGAGTGAACTTCTCCCAGAGGCGAGGTGCTTCGAAGCCAAGAATGCCTTCGTTCCTATTGTGCAGGTCAATGCAGCGGTTCGGGCCGTACGACGACTGCGAAAGCGAGAGCTGCGGCAACGTTGGTTTGCAACCATGACTCCACTTATTGTTAGCGCTGTGACATTTTCTCGAGAGCCACTTGACGTTGTGCTAGAGTTAACGGAGCACATTGGCAACGATGACCCAGAACTCTTGCAGTCTGTTCTGAAGTCTTCCGCCTCCATGCAAATGATTCATGAGACCTTTCGGTTCACGGTGTCCGGGGATGTGTTGCTCCGCCTGCTGCAGCAGCTACAAAATGCCAGCACGTCGCACCCAACGGTGCGTGGGTTGCACGCGGCGTCGCGAGAGTTGCTGCAGAAAACCAATGCGCACATCCCACTGAAGCAGCTGGCACAGGCGATGCTGTTGCCCTCGGTTGAGGGCACAACCCTTGGCAGGCGATTGAAGAAGTTGTTTGTGTTTCGCGTGACAGTGCTGCTTGGCATCACGCGCCCGCGTGCTTCACGCCCCACGGGCCAGTCAGCAGTCAAAAGTGAAGAAGATCCGCCTACCACAACACTGCGATGTTCCCATTGGGATGAATCGTTGGATTGCCTTGAGCTCGAGCACTGGATGTTGCTCTTGCGCTTTTCCCATGTTGCTGAACCCTCGTCATACCGCTTATTGATGACCATCAAGCACGACATGGACGTAGCCGCACGACGAATGGGGAAGTTAGCGCTTTCATCAACACCGGCTAAGGGAGAGAAGGCAGCAGCACCAGAAGTGGCAGCGGGGAGTTCTCATGAGGGCGCAGTTTTGCTCCTTGAAGGGAAAGAGGAGGATCCTGGGTATGAGAAGGGGGTTGAGGAATGGAGCGATAAGAGACATCGCAGTTTGGCATTTTTTTATGCCTTTTCTGATCACACTATATTATGTCTACGTCGATCCTTGGGTGCGTTTCAATTTATCACGTTAGTTTGTGAACTGCTGCATCAGGCTTCAATTTTCTCGCCTGATTTAGCGGCATTTTCGCGGGAGTCCAATTCACATGAACGCGGATGTATGTATGACGGCAGTGCTTCACCGCTTTCGGATGAGCGTGTTTGGCCGTTTCTGCGACTAGCCATCGGTTTGGTGGAAGAAATGTCTGCGGACTTGGGCGGATTCTTGCGACGCGAGCGGGAACAAGGACGGCGATTGAACCACGGTGAGCCACGGACTGCACAAAATGAAAGGAATGAAGAATTGGAGGAAATTAGTGTAGACATTGGAGCTATTTTGAAGTTTTTGAATGTTTTGGACACATACGATCCACGGCGCCGTGAGCGGCGGCTACTGCTGTTGTCATCGGCATCACCATCGCGGCTGTCCTTGTCGCACGACACACCGAATGTCTTTGATGATGTCATGCAGATTCCACATCGTTATCTTTACAGACTGCTCTTGCAATTGCCGCAGCATTGGGGAAAAGTAACGCCTGCTGCGTCGTTTGTTGACACGCCGCGTGTAAGACTTCAGAACATATCGTCTGTATTTGACTACTGTAGTGCGCCAACGGAGTTTCACTCACCTTTTGGGACGCCCGACGCATCCGTGAAGGCGCATTTTTGCCTTTTGAGCATTTTTGGCGCCGATCGGCCGCTCATAAATGATGTGTGGATGCCAATTGCTGCACTGCAGTCTCAGCAGCGTCTTATTGACAGGTCTGTTAAGGCGCAGCTGTTTGTTGCGCTAATGCGTTGCCTGGTGCGTGACGGGGAGTCGCTGGCCGCCACGAGGCCGCGCCTTGCGGAACTCGGGCCGCGTGATTTGGCTCGCGTTGCACAGACATTTCTTGGCGGTGGCGGTGGCGGTGCTGTGGTCGCTGCTGGAAACGATGATCACTGCAGGGAGGAATATGACAAGTGGCGGTCTGGAAGAAGGGCGGAGGCGGTGATTGCACTTGAGCTGCTTACGGACATGTTGCCAAGTGCTTCAGCCGAGGACCTTCATGATATCGTCATGATGCTTCTTCCGCCCCCATCGGCTGAACCGAAGTGGGAGGGCGATAAAAGGCAAACGCCACATGCACCGCTTTATGAAGAGGTGGCAGAGGTGCGACGTTTCCTCGTTCACGTCCCTGTTGTTATGGGAAACGACACGGAGCGTTTTCCGCTGCCGGTGCTGTATGGCATTCTTCTCCGCCTGCATGAGCCGCACCGCCTTATCGCACCTGCCGCAGCCCAGATGATGTTAACAAACCTTCACGCGGTTGATGAAACGACCAAAGGACAAGAATTGCCGGAACATGAGGGGGAGGAGGAGGATGTTGGTGAGCAGGTGCTGGAGGATGCCGTCAGCGGACCGAGGAAGAAGCAACATTATAAGGCGACTGTTGCCCTGCTACGAAGAGTCGTTTCTTCTTCCTCTTCGTTTTCTTTGTAGTCAAGACGCGTGCTATGGAGGTGAAGTCTGTGGGTGAAATGTACGCGCTTGCTCTTCACAAAATTTTAACTGTTTACTGATACGTTTTTAAATCACATTATTATATGCTGTTCTTGATGCTATTTTCATTTATGCTTCGACTCTTCGTGGCCGTACGATGACGGTACATGTAATGATGCATGCTGCTTGGCGAGATGCACACAGCGAGTGGAAGGTGAATCATTGAAACAGCAACGACGAAAGGAAAAACGAAACGTCATGCATGTAATTATTTTTTGGCAAATTTTTTTTTTTTTTGCTTTTTGCCCGTGCATGTGGGTGGATGGATGGATGGAAGGACTCGGCGTGTGCCGTAAATTTCCTTTTCTTTTTTGTTCTCTTCATTTTTTTTTTTTTCCTTTTTTTTTCCTTCTCCATGTTTGTGCGTTTGTCTGCATTTGTGTCGGAAGGATATCTGGGTATTTTCACCAAAAGGAAGGGAAAAAAAAAAAAACAGGAAGAAGAAGAGAGGAAAAAAGAACAAAAGGAAAAGTGAATTTTTTTAAAATTTATTTCTGCCTGTTCACACAACGTTTTAGTGTCGTCTTCTGTTTTTTTTTTTTTTTTTTTAATTATTGCCTTTCGTCCCGGCACCATCCATCGTTCTCTTTTTTTTCTTTCCCCCCCTTTTCCATCGCTTTGCCCCATCGCTGCGAAATGAGCACGGCGCCAGGGGGGGCGGTTGACGATGAAATTCAAAGTCGCCTGTCAAAACTCTCCGTCTACAAACGGGCGGAGTATCACTGCGTGGAGGGCATCGCGGCGCTGCGAGAGTCACTGCGGGATGTGGTGAGGCTTGAGGGAGAGGAGTCCGGCACCAACGACCATGGCGCCAGCAAAGCCGTTCATAACAGTAGTGGTAGTACTAGTGGTGGCGGGGGCCGTGCGGAGCTGGCGAAGGCACGGCAGGCGGCGCGGCGGGCCCACCAGCAGCTCGACAAACTTGCGAAGGAGGCTCAACGTGCGGCACGTCGCGAGGACGGCGGGTGCGATGCCGACATGAAGGAATTAATGAGACACGTGGAGAGCGCCAAGCGGTGGTACCGCGAGTGTTTTCGTGTTGTGCCGCCGATTGAGGGGGGATATGAGCGGCAGGGCGACACCGGCGGTGCTCCCGGTCTGGACGATGATCTCCACGCGCGTCAATGCACGCAACACGGGGCCACAAGTATGACCACCCCGTTGCTTGCAGCGAATTTTAATGATGTTAATAGCAATATTCATAACGGCAGAGATGGCGTGACTAGCAGTAGAAACGCCAGCGTCACTGCGCCGCAGCCCACCGTGTCCGATGAGGAGTTTCTTTTGTTTTTGGATCAGGTGCGGCGAAACGACGAACTTGCCGACGTCGCGCTGGATCGCATTTCCCATGGCCTCTCGCGGCTACATGAGAATGCGCTGAATGTGACGTCCGAGTTGCGGACGCAGGAAGGACTTTTGGTTGCGGTGGAGGAGAAGGTGGAGACCACCCACGCAAATCTCAGCGTGCTGAACAAACGGTTGCGTAAGTTTCTTGCGGAAAAGAATAAATGCGACTGTTTTATGTACGCTTTCTGCTGTGCGCTGCTGCTTGGCGTGGTTGCCGCGATTGCGGTTTTGCTCAAGAAATGAGATAACCGGGGGGCCTACAAGCGAATAACAGCAAAAAAGAAAAAAAAAGAAAGAGTCGATGCGGGGGACTGGAAAAGTTTGACTGCGTGTGAATGGGGCATAATTGCGCATATGTATTTTTCCTGCTTTTTCCCCCCTTCCTCTTTTTCTCTCTCTTTCTCTGCACATTGAGGCACATGCGCGACTTTGTCGTATGTAAGGAATACTTGTGGGAACAGGTGGGTGCATGACGTGTATGAGTGGTATGAGCGGATTACAGAAGACGGCAATGCACGTGGGCGTGTTCAAATTCATTGCGTCCCCGTATGTTTGAGTTTATTCGCTTTTTCTTTATTTCCAGTATGCGGTTCAATGCTTTGCGTCTTTTATTTACTTATTTACTTATTTTTTTTTCTTTTGTGAGACCGCGCTCTTGGCTCCCGTGTACGACGCATGGGAAAACGCAAGACTGAAGTGACATTAGCGAAGGTGTCATGGCACTCAGGGTTTTTTTTTTAATCGCGAAACTCCCAGCGAACTTCAGGGAGGAACAATTTTTTTTTTCTTTTTCAAAATATATACGGACCTGAAGAAGCAAGAAAAAGAAAAAGGAAAATGCATGCAGCCCTGTGGAGAGAGATGTCTGTATTACGAACATCCGTTCACGGGTGTATGTACCGCCATGCATTCAGGGGCGGGGGAGGCACACATAGACACTTCCTCTCACAGATTGACAGGCAGACGTGCATGATTTTTATTGCCGCACTTCTTCATTGATGAATAATTGACAAGGACAGAGAATGTGGAGTACCTTTTTGTAGTTCTTTTTTTTTTTTTTTTGTGTGTTTGTTCTGTTCTTTGTCCCTTATCAGAAGAGAATTATTTGTTCTTCCAGTATGATATCTAGCATTAGCGGCTTCCTTAGCCTTAACCATCTCGACATGACGAGCGGTGCCAACGACGTCATTGTCGTGCGTCACTCTAATGGCCGGCTCTTCAGCACACCGTTTAATGTACGCTTTGGCAAGGTGAAGGTCCTGCGTCCCAGCGACAAGGTGGTACAGGTGGAGGTGAATGGCAAGCCTACATCGGCCGTGATGAAGATGGGTTCGGATGGCGAGGCTTTTTGGCTGAAGCCGACACCTTGGTCAGAGTATGTCAGTGGAAGGCCAGAGTCCCCTCTTGCCACCGCCACAGCGTACATGAATGGCGGTTTCAGCAGCCACGGTAACTCCGGCAGCAGGAGTCCTAACCGGAACGTGGAGAATTTACAACCAACGGAGCCGGTTTTAGAGTCGATGAATTCACCCACCATTAACGCCAAGGCAGAGAATAGTGTTGCGAAGGAGCCCCTTCTAGAGGAGGACCATGAGGGACATCTTAAGGTCAATGCTGTAGCGAGGCAGTCGGGGGTGGACATCACAGAAGTGCAGCTTGCCGAGGAGACGGTCGTTGCGGCGGAGATGGCAATGCAACAGATTGCACAAATGACGATTGAGTATGATGATTACATGCGCGAGACTGTGTTACTAGAGAAAGATGAAGGTATACTATCAACTGACATGGACAAGCTGGAATGTCGCCCAGGTGCTTTGGAGAATGCGTTACTTAGCGTTGATGATGACACCAACGCGCCTCCAGCTATTCTTGCGAATACGTTCAGGAGGAGTGATAGGGTTTACATGGAAACTGCTGGAAAAGATGGAGATGAGTCGGGTTCTGTTTCGGTTGAAATTCATCCCGAAAAGAAGGAATGCGGACACGAAACGCCGACGGCAAGAGTGGCCAAAGAATCTGAGAATACAGACAAGGAAGTGCTTACGACACCCAAGAAGAGAAGGGCCATGGGCTCACAGAAAAGCCTCGCTGCAAGTGATGAGGGGCTTGACACATTGGATGATTACCTCTTTGAGGACCCCATCAACCCCGAGGAGTACGGGGGGGAATTTGGTGGCTACAATACAGGTGGGACCCCAGCAAGTGTCCCTGTGGTTCAAGAGGCGGGGAGTGAATTTCCCAACTTGCCACTAAAAACGTCCACGCCTGATGAGAAGCAATGCGAGGAACCCTCCCTGTCAAGAGAAAAATTGGAGGAGGTGGTTTACTTCACTCGGACCCTTATCCCTACAGAGGCAGATTTGCGCAAACTGAACCTGGTGGAGGGACATAATCAGGTGCGTTACATCACGCACAGTTCACTTCGTGGGGAGGTGGCTGTGGATGCCAATGTGTATCTGTGGGATAGCACAGATCGCCTTGTCGTAAGTGATGTGGACGGCACGATTACTAAGAGTGACTTGTGGGGCCATCTTATGCCTCTGATTGGCCGGGACTGGACGCATCCCGGCATCTGTTCCCTATACAGTAAGATTGATCGGAATGGGTACAAGTTTGTCTACCTCACTGCTCGAAGTGTTTCACAAGTGAGCATGACGCGCAATTTTCTTTGGAATATTGAGCAGGACGGGTTTCGTCTCCCAAAAGGCCCTGTGCTGACGGCTCCACAGCGTTTTTTCACCGCGTTGACGCAGGAGGTGTCGAAGAAGTCACATGTATTCAAAATTGCATGCCTGAAAAGCGTCTTGGATACATTTCCTGCACAAAGTAAGCCGTTTTACGCCGGTTTTGGTAACCGGTTTAATGACGTGGTGAGCTACACTGCCACGCAGATACCACAGCACAAAATCTTCATTATCGATCCCAATAGTGTGCTACATGTGTACAACGTGAGGCAAACATACAAGAATCTTGCGCACCTTGTTGACGTGACATTTCCGCCAATTGTAAAAAGGATTCATCATCATCACCATCATCTTCATCACACGCCACGGGAGACATCTGATAACCTGCAATCGCCGGATACTTTGGCCGATGCTGAGGATGGGAGTGAAAATTTCACCGCCGCTCTGGTTGGTACAAGGAGGATCGGGTCTCCGGGCCCTGCTTTCTTAGATGTACGCGATTCGCAATTGTTGTACGATGATGATGGATCACGTTTAACTTCTTCTCCATTTGACATGCGGCCTCTCCCAGAAGACAACGTTGGCAGGGTCCACGCAACGGCGTCCACCACGCCGCTTGAAAACCATGCCGATCTGAATATTGACCAGGAGTTTCACTCCTTTCTTTATTGGCGTGTGCAGCCAGCTGATCTTGTGGCTGAGAAAAAGGAGACAAAAGAAAATGAGAATGTTAGCAAAGGACCGAAGCAGCATGGAAACCGGAAGGGCAGCAGATGGTTGACATTCAGTCTTGGCACAAGCAGCAACCATAACAACAGCGACGGATTAGAAGGAAAGAGTGAGGATGAATTAAATACCCGCCATGTTGTTGGAGCGTCGGAGTCGACGGGTGCTCAGCACTCTGCACCCAAAGCAGTGGCTGCTGCTGAAGACGGTGTTCCAAAGACAGGAGGGACGACGCAGGATTCATCCCGATTGCCTGAAGGCAATTCCACACAGGAAAGATCTGAGAACGATAATGTTTAACCTGATGGTTAAATTGAACTGAAAGTACAAAAGGAAGGAACTGAGCAGTGTGGTATTGGTAGATTTGCTTGTGCGCACGCGTTGCCGTGTTGGTGTTGCGGCAGGGCCGTGCTTGTTTGTGTGTGTGGTTTATTTTTTCTTCTTTTTTTTTTTTTCCTGCGGCCCCAAAAGAGACAGTGCTCAAGATCGGGTAGCCACCCGGTAAATCGAAGTTGCTTTAGTGAAAAGTGGATATAAAGATATAAAGATATATATATTAGTTATTTATTATGGATGTTATTTCTGTGTGTTTTGCGTTTTGGTGAGCAATACGGAGATGGGGCAGCAGCATATGGCGAAAGAGGCTGCTTTATTATCAGTTGCAGGCAGCGGAGGGGAGTGTTGAGGGGCGTGGAAAAGCGCGTAAAAAAATATATATATATATATATGTAGGGGTGCGCAGAGACGTTGTTTTTTTTTTTAAATACGATTTTTCTCCTGTTATTTTTAACTGCTCTGCTGCTTTTTCACCGACTGCTGTCGAATAGGGTAGTTTGTGGTGCCCATTTTATGATTCCCTACTCACCGGGGATCATTTGACAATTGCCGCAGTGTGTTTGTTTCTAATTCTTTTTTTTTTTTTTGGCGTTGCTTTGCTTCCTCAACCTGCTTCCTCTTTATGAGTGTTTGTGTGCATGCATGCATCTTTCTTTTTCATTGTCTGTGCTTGCATACGTGTCTCTGTATGCACTTTGTTTCAATGGTTCTGGTCGTGTTTCGTTTTTCTTCGCACAGCAACGAGGAAGGAAAGGGGAAAGGGAGAGGAAATGGATTTTGATGATGACGTTTTGCCGCTCATGCGTGAGATGGACGCGAAGCTTATTCGTATGCAGTCCGAGCTGCTGCCGTTGCTGGCTTCTCTCAACGAGGACGTGCTGGTGACAAAATACAGCGTGGACGAACAGGCCCGCGTCTCCCTTGCCACTGCCTTTATTCTAGTGTTGCTCACGTACGCCCACGACAGAATGCAGCATGTGGGGGGAAAGAAAGGCATGGATGCGCGGGTCCAGCTCAAGTTGGAGCGCGTCTCCGGATATATCAAAAAGCTGCGTGAGATCACACAGCTGGACAACCAGCTACAGGGGCAGAAAGCGGTGACGGCAGCGGCAACGGGGGGCGGTAAGGGCGCACGGAAGCACAGACGTGAAGAGGCAGATGGCGGTGATGTGGAGCGACGCGAGTTAACGGACGCCAACGCCGCAGATGATCCGTACGGTGACGCCATTCTCTTTACGGAGATTGGGAGGGGCGCAGGAAGGCCGTTGTCATCGTTGGTGCAGAGCCTCTTGAGGCATGTGACGGATTCGAGTGCATCGTGAGCCTCTCGCTATATTCTCCGCTTGTTTTTTCCCGGGCACAACTAGAAGAAACAAACAAAAATTGATGAAAGTAATGAGGAAGAGAAACAGTGCAATTTGAGTGACGATGCGGCGCTGCCATGTGTTTATGGCGACTTTTTATTTTGACGTGTGCGTGTCTGTTGCTTTGCGTGACGGCAGCGGCTCCAAATTTTTTTTTTTTTACTGCGGTGTGTATAACAAATGAGCCGCATAACGCATGCATGAAAACGAAAGGCGTTGATCCCTGTTGTTCTTTTTCCTTTTTTCTCTCTCTCTATGTGCTTGTTTGTACATGCGGGGGGGGGGGGGGAATAAATATATATATATACTCTTCTTTCTTTCTTTTTTTTTTTTTGTTATTTTGTTTGAAAGGAGGGGCGCCTTGTGAGAGCGCGGCACCAAGTACGCACATTCCCTCCTGTTATTGAGCCACACATTTACATTTTCCACTTCACACAAACTTACCCGCAAAAGGGAAGGTGAAAGACGAGGTCGGGGCCATTTGCAGCGACGGCACGCTCTTGTTTTTTCCCTTGGATTTATTTTCCAGTTTATTTATTTATTATTCTTTGTTGTTTTTGTTGCTCTGTAGTGTGGCGGAAAGAAAATGAGACAGCTCGCTGGGGGCGTGAGCGTCATGTTGAGCGCGGTGGCTGCACTTGGCTTTTTGCTGCTCATTCGCCGTGCATTGGGCTGTAATCAAATGGAAACACTCAACAGGACGCTGCACGTTCTCCGCTGTCGCGAGAGACCACATGACAGCAGGTTGCAGCGGTTTTTTGAGTGGATTTGTGGCACTTCGTGCGTGAACTCTGTGGTGGTGCTCCGCACTGCCAACCCGCATGACGCAGTGCTGTACCACACCCTGCTGCTGCCGCTACAAAAGAAGTTGAATTATTCTTTTATCCTTGCCGTGGAAAAGGTGACGGAACTGGACAAAATGGTTGTTATTGAACTTCGTACACGTGAGTTTCACAGGGAATATACTCGCGGGACGATGCTGGCGTTCCCGGAGTTGCCGAAATGCTCTGTAGCCACAGCTCCCTCCATCGTCTCTAGCTGCAAGGCGCAGGAACGCCTTGTACTATGCCGCGTTCCACTCCCGGATTTGCGCGTCTATCGCGACATTCCGGCCGTTATTTCTCGACTCATTGCAGCTCACGGGGAGAACAGGCGGCTGTTTTCTTCGTACGCAGAGGAGATGCTGTTTTATCTTCCATTTATTGAGGCAAATAGCCGGTGCCAAAATCACCCACAGCAACAAAGCCATCAAATAGGTACAACGACAGTGACGAAGGCGTCGTCATCCACGGCCTCGCTGTCTCACGGAGAGGAGAAAAATGTATTTTCCGGGCCCGACACGTTGACGCAGGTGGAGGCCGCTTTCTTGGGGAACTCCTCCCCTTCAACTGGGAGGAGTGACAAGAGCGCTGGATTAGCATTACTTGGCGATGTCATAGACATCAATGCTACGATGTTCTCTACTTCATGGCTGGTGGGGGTCGGGGATGGGGCGGTTAGGACTGCTGAAGATGTGGGTTCCATGAACTCCCGTGGCGAGGACCAATTTATTTACGATGCCATCCACGAGGCATTTTTTCACGTGGTGCTTCGTACGCCGCTCGCTCGCCCCGACTTCCTCGCTGCTGAAACACTGAAGTTGCACCCATTCAAAGTATGGCGCGCAAGTCGTCGATCGCGACGTGCAGCTGCGGAATTGTACGTTTTAGATGTTGCGGCAGCGAAGGGTGATGCCGTGATAAGTTTTGCCCATGTGGTTGATGAGGTGGTGGCGCAGGCGGTTCTTGTGCACCACCGCGGGTCATTGGCGGAATTTGTGGATGCGCTGTTTGCACGGTTTGCGCTGCGGTACACACCCGTCATTCCCGCTCTGCGTGAAGTCGTCGAGCGTCGGCGTGGGGGGGTGCAGCGGCGGCGGCCGTCGGGAGAGAACTCTGAGAGGGATCTCCGCATGGAAGGGAACGTCAACTGCTCCCCGCCTGGTGCGGGTCCGAGTGGTCTCGCGGTGGGCTTTGAGGACGGGGTGGTTGACGACGAGGAGGACATCGATGAAGTTGTGCGAGAACTCCACTACACACGGGAGTATATTCTTGAGCACCGCATTACTTTTTACAATGCCGTACTCACGACGCAGGGATCCAACCAACTGGAGGAAGTCTTTGGTGTGCCAGCAACCGTCTTCCCCTTTTTGCCCTGCGCCCGGGAGAGCGTGGCGTTTGTCACGCACGCCTATGAGTGCATTGTCGCGGAGTACGGGCCTCTGGATTTCCACAACTTCACAAAATACGCACACGATGTCTTTGTGCGGGACCGACCCGAGATTGTCCGACACGCCCCGCGCATCTTTCGAATGCTTAACAAAACCCGGTCCGGCGTTATCTCCTTCGAGGAGCTTTGCTGTTGGATTGCACGAAAACTCTCATCTGGCTCACGGCAGCGGCCGGACGCCCACCTCATTGCTATTGCGATGTCCTTACGCCTGCCATGGCGCTGGTGTTCAACAAACGGAAGCAGTGGCCGCGG